AAAAAAAAAAAAAAAAGGTGGTACTGAGACCACATTCCTGGAGGGAGAAGATCAGGCTCTTAAATAATCTCAATGTCATAAGCAAGTGGGCCTCCAATGGAAAATCCCAGGTAAAAAGACACTTTTTCTATGCTTCTACCACTTCTTAGTTCACCCCAGAAAGTAGGTGTGATGGGTATTGTGATTTTTTCATTGGTTCCATATTCTATGCATAAACAATTATTTTCAGCTCGCCCCTTTAAACGAAGCAGAAGTTCTTGGACTTTTTGCTCCTTCCATACCTCCCCACTCTGCCAGAAGTTAGTATCAGGCGTCTTTCCACAGCATTCATCAATTTTCCCTTTGTGGACAAGTCTGTTCATATTCTTACCTTTCCCAAGAAAGAAATATGCAATTGGTTGCTTCGTACGATACATATGTTTATATTGTCCCCTGAAAGAATTTTGCAGTGAGCGAGCATACTTTTCCATTTGTTTAGAATCTTGATCTAGATTTTGGTTTTCTGGCCAGAATAAGAGGGAAGCTAAGAAATAAGGTTCTGAATATCGATAATTCAGTCCTATTTGTTGTAAGAGTTCTCGAAGCTGATCTTTCAGTGTTTTAGTTGGCTTCACAATTTTGGAAGTAGGTTTAATACAGTAGAGAATGATATTGGCCAAGATGAAATTTTGTTTTTCCTTTGGCTGGATTCTGACACTGGATTGTTCAAAGAGAAAAGTGTAGTTTTTCACTATGTCTTCCATGGTGTTAATAGCATCTCCTTGACTTTTGATAAGGTATTCCAAGAGCCCAGAAAACTTGTCTGCTTTGAAAACTTCCAGGCTTCTCCGACACAGCTCTGCTTGAAGTGGAATACTAAGCTTTGATGTGAGATCTCTGTTTTGTAATTCCTCTAAGGGACCAAATATATCTGCATACTTCTTAAAACATCCAGCCACCTTTCCCCAAGTTTTGGACTGTTCATATTGCTTAACGTTGTTCCTGGGTTTTAGAAGGACAAAATAATCGTCAAAAAAATCAAAGCACTTTTTCAAAGAATACCGTAAATTAGTTAGGTAGGGAATAAAGTTCTTGAGGACTAATTTAAATTCATTGTTTGGATCTCCAGGAATATCACTAACTCCTGATATAAAATTGATCATGTCTCTTTTAGATAGTTTATTTTTATTGTCAAAAAAAGGAATGAGCTGGAGAATCTGGATTGCATAGAGCCCGACTTCTATCTCCCCATGATAACCAGCAATGTTGTACGTATCATATCGCCTCTTTGACTTCTGATAAAACCTTTCTGCTGCCTCACTCTCTCTGTCTTCGCTTTGCTGCTGAGATTCCTTGAACGCGTTCGAGGCGTGTACCACCAAATCCAAAAGTTCGTTTAGATCAGCAACGGAAACGTTCCTTTTTCTTTCATTATTCTCTAGCCACCATCTTATTTTACTTTTGTAGACTTGACCCAGCGTATCTGAGACATAAGAATTGCTAGGTTCTATCTTTTTTGCTTCATTTGCCCAATGAAGGGCACTGGTAAAGTTCCTCTCTTTAATGTAGAAATGTCTTGCCAAGGCTTGGCAAATGAATGCGTTTGGGTGGAACCGATGAATACCTTCCAGCAATACTTTTTCGACTGCTGTGTTCCCTTCGTCTTTATGTAACGCTTCAATGAATGGGGAGAACCAAGTTCCCATTTCACCTTCATGCTCATTGCGCTGTCTCGTGAGCAGCAGTGTTTGCATATCTCGGAAAAATTTGCTTCTTCCCATATCAGTATCGTAGAGCACATTTTCTGTTAGCATATCCAGCATAATTTGACTTTTATCCAAATCATAGCTTATCTTCAGTTCTTCCAGGGAGCGAATGGCAATCAAAGGATGAATGATGCGCAGCCCACAGTATTTTTTACATTCCACCACCTCTGTTTTTATCAGAATCGTAGAGTAGGTGCCCATCTTGTCTTCAAGTTTTTCTGTTCCCCAGTAAGCCTTCTTGTGTGTAATCCCTAAAAACTTTTCACACTGTGAAAGTGAAATGGTGGTATCAGGCACATATGAATTAAGAAGAGCCAGGAAAGAAAAGAGCTCTGCTTCCTTGGTGGACATATTTTGTCCTTTCAGGATATTCCTGACCACATTTTCTATGTACTTCTTATCAAAATTGGTTTTCATGATCATGAAGGAATAAAAATCTTTAAAGTTTTTATGTTGCTCTTCAATTTCTTTCAGTTTAAGCTCAAACGCTCTCTGCTCTTTGGAAGACAGTTGTTGTATTAAGGCGATATTGTCTGACACCTTTGGACATTTTTCAGGGTTCTGCGATCTTACACAATTTAGGATTATCACTAGAGGTTTCTCATACCGAATGCACTTATTAACTATGGCTGCTTGAATGGAGGCCTGCAGAAGATAGATGTCCCCTTGCTCCTCAAAATCATCAACAAGAAGCAGCACAGGTAAGTACTCCTGATGGCTTGCTGTCCCATAGGTGATTAAATTAGTCACTTGTTTTCCAATTTCAGAAAAATCCGCTGTCTTGTTCTTCAGCACAGCACACCTGAATTTCTTCCTTAGTTCCCAGAGAATATGCATTGCCAAGGTAGTCCCACCACAGCCTGGATGATGATACAGATGAATAATTTTGACAGATATTGACTTTGAAGAATCTACACACTTGTGTATCTTTTCTTCAAGTTTTTCATACTTATCCCTTTTGACAAAAGGCGAAGAATAGTTTTCAGAAGAAAAGTAGAAGTTCCACCAGGATACTTTACCACCTCGATAGAAGTCTTCCTCTTTTGAAGCTTTGAATTCATGAAATTTGCTTTTATCATTTTCTAAGAGTGTACCTTCGCATTCATTTTCACAGAGAATTTCCAGAGCGGTCATGATATCTTCATCTTTTTTCAGAAGGACAGTAGATGAACCAATAGATGGCAAAAATCTCTTTGAAGATTTAGTCACAGATTTTAGTTTAAGAATAGTACCATTTATCTCTTCAAGGCTTAAAGAGGAAATACATTGGCTTGATAATTCATCTTGTTGTTTTGTTAATCTTGCTTCAAGTAGATCTTTCCACCTCTGACATATGTGTGGTTGTACACAAATACACAATATATTTTCCATTCCTTTCAGATCTTGATAGAAAGCACAGAAGGTCTCAATGAGGGGGTCTCTTGGGTCATCCACAGAGGAGAGTAACAGAAATACCACCAAAAACTTCCCTCTTGGCATGATGTCTTCATGTGTAAGAAATGATATCAGTTTCCTGACTTCAGATGCTTTTTCTCTTTGCCAGGAACTTGGATCTAAGGGTTCATATTTTTCACTGTCAAGGTCTAATCTGCCATTGCAGAAAATCCAGCTGGGTTGTACGTAAAGATTCAGACTAGAAATCTTCTCATTTGTTGTGGTTTTCCCCTCTATGTACAGACTTGGCAGGTGTAGGTTTACTACTCGGCTTTCTTTGTAAGCACTGACTATCCCCTTGCTCACAGATTCAGGATCAAACTCCAACACAGCAAACCATTTTATTTCCTTTATGAAATCTAAGTGTTTTATTTGATTAGGATGGCATTTATTTGTTACAAGAATGTACCAGTCATAGTATGAATTATCTAACAAATCTTGATTTCCTGTTAACAATTCAATAAGCTTTGGCCCCTCACTGTTCTTTTCATTTGTTTTTACTCTGCATTTTTCTTCTGCTTCTTTTCTACGCCCTGCCAGTGCTTCTAAATCTAATTTAAATATTTTGAAATCTGCATTATTTTTCATGATGTCTTTAGAGCTGGCCCCATCTCGCACAAACACCGAGAATTTTTCTCTCTGTTCCCATATTTTGTTGTTGCAATTTTGCATTTTAATCTGGAAATAATCATGTCCACATTCAGAGTATTGCGGAATGACATCCACTTCAATAACAAATCTGTCAGATGGCACACTGTTTGGCAGTAAAACTTCTACAAATCTTGGCTCTCGAATGCACTTCTTTGCTTTTTGGACCTGATGGTCTTCAAAATACTGGTGGATCATCAGATTGAAGTGGTTGATGAGGGCTTCCTTGGTGACAGTGGTGAGGCTCACTCCAACAATTTTTCCATGGGGTTTGTCTATGACTCCAAAATGAATGGTGCCGTTGGTCCGTGAATTCATACAAGCTGATGCGAATTTGAAGACTTCATTGCTAAATTTCATTTTAGCATCCAATTCTGTGCCTTTATTTGTATTCGTGAAGTCTTTGAATTCATGTATTGGATCAATGAGATTGAGTGGTCCTGTTTCAGGCTGTAGACAAAAGTTCATTTTGTAGCGATATGGGTCACTGAATTCATCAAAAGGGTATGCCGCACATGTCAGTTCTACGGATGGCTGCTTTCCCTTTGTGTTATCTATTTCCCTTTCCATGAGCTCATTTTCTAGTGACTTAGAAACTTGAGTAACTGTGCTCATCGTAGAGGCATTAGCCACATCTGATTTCTCTTTCTCTTTTTGTTTAGAAGTTTCTTCATTTTCCCCTTGCATCAGAGTTTGTGTTTTAGGAACATTTTTACTGCCTTTTTTCTTCTGACATGTTTTATGAGGATCTTCAGAGGGTGCTTTCTGCAATTCTTTAAATAAATGTTCTATTTGGATAGCTGGTCCATGTGTTATGCCCATATCAATGAGGTGATGTTTTGTTAACCACTTCAGGACGGCTCCATTCACATCTTGTGCAGTCAAGATTTGCCTGTGTTTTTGGTCAATTTTATGACTTTCTAACCACCGACTGACATCCTCTTTTGTCCAGTCATCTGTATTTTCTGGCAGGTTTAGTTGTGCTGCCATTCTGAGACCTGTATATAGAAAAAGAAAAATAATTTAGTATGCTTATAAGTAAATTTTTAAATAATCAACTAATTTTCAATAGGTAATATGTATGTCTTATGCAGTTTTAAAAGTTCAAAACAATATGCATGTTATCTAGTTTTCTTCCTGAGAGGAAATTATTATTACCATTTTCTTCTGTATCCTACCACAAAAATGCTCTCAAATACAAGCACCTCCCCCCCCC